TCCATTATTCATATTGCCGCCCATGGTCAGGAAGGAACTGGACACATTTTCCTTGCTCCTGAATCAAGAAAATCAAACGACGGCGCTCACCCAACTTCAACGTCCCATCTTCTCACACAAAGCGATGTTCTAAGGTGCAAGTTGTCTGCTCGACTGGTCGTGCTTTCGTGTTGCCACTCTGGCAGGGGAAAGCTATCTTCGGAGGGCGTTTTGGGCATTGCCAGGTCATTCCTTGGGGCTGGTGCCAAGTCGGTTCTGGTTACACTGTGGGCAATCGACGACTTGTTCACACAAAAATTCATGAAAGTTTTCTACGAAAAGATTTTAGAGGAAACATCGGCTTGTATGGCGTTGAAAGAAACCATGAATAACTTCCAGAAGATTAGACAGTATGATTCATTTCTGTACTGGGCTGCGTTTGAAATCCTCGGGGAAGATGTAAGTTTCACTAAAGGCGAAATCACGGAAATTCAAAGAAGGAATAAGGATGTAAAACTCGTTTAGTTTTCTTCAACTAAACTAACGTACAACAGTATGTTAAGTAACCCGTTAATATAAACGTTTGAACCGTTTGGAAATACTTAAAGAATTCTGTGAATGAAATGATATTTGGTAAAAGACATCGACTTTGGTTGTAAAATACATTAGACCACCGAACTGTTAAGATAATGTTATCGTGTGCGTAATTTCAGGGGTATGATTTTCAAGTAGGCCTTATAGCGAGTAAGGACTGAATATGCTGACCATTTCATCAGTAGTAGCCAAAGTTGACTTTTAGAACAGAGGGGACTTCCGTCTACGCATGCGCGAGAAACGTAAGCGTGGAGTGCAGTGAGCGCGAGTTGATCGCGTGACTGAATTCTAAAAACAAACGCCAAATTTGCCAAAACTACTCATGTTATGAAGTCGTTTTCCTGTCTTTTAGTGCTTCTACGTTTACAATTTTAGGCATTTTCGACTTAGAAGTGTTTCGACTAAGAACGTGAAAGTAGAAATAAAAACTTTGTTGCAGCAATTTAATTTCGCCGTACAAATATACTTGTTTTATATGAATATCTTTTTCGAAGTCAGTTATACAAGTGGAATTGACCTTCTTTAAATTCGTATTTGCCCTATTTTTGACTCCTTAAAAACTACTTTTATCCATGGAGAAACTATTCGACTTTAAAAATAAGCTGGAATTATGGAGGTGATAAAGGCTAGTTTCTTTGCAAACAGTGATTCAGTAATCGGTAGTGTACTTGTTGTATATGAAGCAAAGTCTAAATGATTACAACATCCATCAACGAAAAGGAGTCGCGCTTATTACTACTCGTTAGAAGATAGACAATTAATTTAATTCACTAGAAACCCGCTCTACAATATAAACTAGAAAACGTCCAATATATTGTCACGAAATACTACAATTAAAATAGGGTCTCAAAACTACCGATTTCACCGAACGCTCAAGTTTCTCTGCAAAGATCTCCCTTTTCCCAATTTTCATAGAGTAGATCATCGTGTTATCAGGTCAAAAGGATTATGTATACTTTAACATAAAAGAATAAAAAAACTGGTGATAAAGGGTAGATTTTGAATAAAATACGATATTTCATAGCCAGCTTAAACGCCATGCCACTGTGTACTATTCCTGTGAATTATGATGCCCAACACACCGGGTAACACAATTTACTACTTTGTTTGGCTGTTCCAAGTACACTTTTAAGATACAAGGTCCGATCATATCATGTTCTTCGAAGTGAAAGTGATGAGTGAAATTGTAAGCAAAACAACAAAAAGCTAAATTTGCGGGGAAAAGCTCACGAGCCCGCACTATTTTTATGCAGCGTCGACAAAAGTCCACCCTGTTCCCTCTGTTGACTTTTAGTTTAATTTACTGGCAAATAGATGCGGTGCATGTACTATTCTGTAGTATTTGTAGAATGCGATAAGTTAATAATTAACTTCGAAGCATGTAACAACGTTGATTGACATTTGTAATAAATTTAATATAATTATTTGTATATTCAGTATTATTTGTAATAAATCATTATTCAGTCTATGTCGAAATGATGTTTCCAAGGAACTAAAAAAACTAGAAGAGCAAGACATTGTTGAGAAAGTCGCAACACCATTGATATCTCCAATAGTTGTCACGCCAAAGAAAGATGGAGGTATTAGACTATGTGTAGACATGAGGGAAGCAAACTAAGCAATCGAAAGAGAGAGACACACAATGCCAACTTTACAAGATTTTAAAGCTGAGGTAAATGGAGCAAAATTCTTCTCAAAGATTGACCGAAAGCAAGCATATCATCAGCTCGAATTACACCCTGACAGTCGATTCATTACAACGTTTTCTAGCCATGAAGGACTGTTCCAGTATAAAAGTTTAAATTACGGTACGAACAGTGCAGCCGAGATATTCCAAAATGTGCTACAACAAAACCTTAGCGTTATCAGATGAGTGAAAAACCTGGTGGATGATATTATTATTCATTGTAAAACCCGAAATCACGCGATGAAGCACGAGAGAACTGTCTAAAACGGCTAGCAGCACTAAACTTGAAAGTGAAAGGGGAAAAATGTGAATTTCTACAAGACGAAATTATGTTCTTTGGATTAAAATTTACAGCAGCAGGAACTAAACCAGATCCTGAGAGAATTGAGAACATGGTTAGAGTACCAGCTCCCAAAACTGCTGGAGAAGTCAGAAGTTTTCTGGGAATGGCCAACACTTGCCACAAATATATACATTCCAGATTATGCAACTATTACAGCACCTCTAAGAGAACTAACCAAGAACAACATTGCGTTTAAGTGGGAAAATAGACATCAGAAAGCATTTGAGCAACTGAAAAAGAAACTAACAAGTACCCCAGTTATGGCATATTTCGATACAAAGAAACGAAGTCTAGTAATCGTAGATGGCTCCCCTTATGGAATTAGTGCAATACTAGCACAGAAAGAACATCACAGCCAGCAGTACAACATCCTTTCATATGCAAGCAGAGCACTCAGCCCAGTGGAGACAAGATACTCTCAAACAGATATTGAAGGACTTAGCTTAGTATGGGAATTGAGCATTTCCGAATGTTCTTGATTGGATCAGAATTCGATGTGATAACTGATCATAAAGCATTAGAATCTATATTCAATAACCCAAGATCCAGACCACCAGTCCGAATCGAGAGATGGATGATGCGATTACAACCATTCAACTTCAAAGTCAATTTCCGCAAAGGATCCTTAATTAAACGAAGCTGACTACTTAAGTCGACATCCAGCTGTCATAGAGAGAGAACAAATAACTAGTACATCAGCAGAAGAATATGTGAAACAAACAAGGGCGAATAATGTTCTCGACCAATCAAAGCATTTGTTGACCTTTTGGCGCTAAGCCAATCAGAATGCGCACATTTTTACTACTTCCGGTTTAGATGCTTATTTCAACACGAAAATTAGGGTCGTAAATAAAGCCTTGGAGGCGCCTGGTTTTTTAATTTTGAAGCTTATTTCAACGAAATCCTATAAAATATAAAATTTTCGAAAAATTTGCCGCTGGGATTGCGTTTAATCGCTTAGTTTTGAAATTATCCGCATTCAAAAAACGGCGTATACAAGGTCACTCTTGAATATGTCAAAAACGTGTTATGATTCTAAAGGAAGTGAAGCAAAGGCTTATATCCGGAAATATTTAAGAGTGGCTTGAGGCATTGGGAAAGAAGGCATTTTCACTGCGATTTTGGAGTTAAATCTTCTGGCAATCGGTTACTACACGACTATAATTTTGCCGGCAGTGGCATATAGCACTAATTTAAAGTAAAGTAGAAGAATCGCCGTTTCAATGAATGGCAATTTCTTTTCGAAATTTATGATTGCCTCGTTGGCCCAAGCTTTTGACTTGAGAGGATATTATTTGCAAAATGGGCAAGCACTGATGTCTGGTAGGTTACTCTCAAGGTGGAAAGAGTGCCCACAGCCTCGAAAAATGCGACACAAAGGACTATCACGACTGCATGCAATCACTGATTTTTAGATCATGCAGTCCATTCTTATCACATTTGCTGTGTCAATGGAAATTGAAGGTAATAATATCAAACATATTATATATTTCATGCTTATGATTCATATACATTTTATAGGCTGTCAGTATATTAAAAGATTCATATTTTTTCGAGCACCAGATTGTCAGTCAACAGAGGGTTACTTATTTGCTTTAGTACGCAGTTTTTCCTATGTGTTTTATGTAATTGTAGAAAATAGAAAGACCACAGTGTATATTTTTAGGATCATGGAATCAACAACTATTTACTAAAGCATATAAAACTCGTGATAGTGATGCAGTGTAATTATATTGTTGGATTAGGAGGTCTTTCCACTGATGAAAAGCCCAATGGAAGAACTCGGTTGGTGACAACCATGCTTCCAACGTTAACAAATTTCGTAGTTTCCACATTCTCGTCTCCTTGTTTTGCCCATGCACCTCTTGACAGTAACACAGCCTGACCAGGATTATCATGGCGAACTCCAATTGTTTGTGAGAAATTCAGCAGCCTTGATCTTTCAAATTAGAGATTGACTTATGTCATTGTCATCATGACAAGGCAATGTTAGTGGTTCTCTCTCATTTCATATATTGGCAAGAGAACAACCATCCCATGTACCACATACTACATCAAGCATTGGTAGCTTTCAACAAGCACCCTATTGAAAATTTCCACCTGTTCTGTGGGCATAGACTAAGGGGCCGATTACATGTGGCATTTTCAACCCCGGAGTTAACGTTGAACTCAACCCTGTTGACCAGGTTGAAATTTCAGCCCTGCCTGTAGTACAAAACTCTATCACAATCAAATGCACAATTACATGACAATATTGTCAAGCCAGGGCTGAGTTCAACCCCGGGGTTTCAACCCTGCTTCAGTATAGCAGGGACTCGTCCTTGAGTTCAAAATCTTGTCATGCAATCATTTCAAATCAGGACTGAAATTATTCATGAGTTGTTCAAGCATGCATGGTAGTGACTATTTATTACAAGAAAACAACATGGAGGCTACGGACCTGCTTTTTTTACTTCCGGAAATCAACGCCAGGGCACGTACAGCATTTCAATCCCGGGGTTGAAATCGTCCATGTAATTGCAAAAAATTCAACCCAGTTAACAGGACTGAGTTCACCCCCGGGGTTGTGTAATATCACCCCCTAATTCCACAGAACAGGGCGCAGAGAGGTTGCGCGCAGCACAGGCCCTAATGCAGCGAGGATTTACATTCTTAGCTAAGCAATCTTGTATCCATAAATTTTAAGGGCCTTTGTTGCTTTGGGGCCCCTTTTGAGCTGGGGTTCCGAGGCAAAGTGCCCCCCCCCCCC